TTATCAAAATATACAAAAGGCTTCAGAGATTCTCTATTTATATCCATAGATTTAGGATGGAACTGAGATGCAGAGATGGCTTCTATTTATTTATTTGTTTATTTATTTAGTTGTAGTTGTACATAAAAGCATTGCACCTTTAATTTTTTATGTATTCTTATGTGGTGCTAAGTGTCGAACCCAGGATCTCACACATGCTAGGTGAGTGCTCCACCACTGAGCCACAACTCCAGCCCTCAGAGATGGCTTCTTGAGCCAGTGTGGTCACAGATCTCACCCACCAGCCAACTCTAGCTTGGCACTGCTAAACCTGTCCAGCCAATGGAGCTGCTGATCCACATAGGAACACTGAGAGACAGGGGAGAGATGTGCCCAAAAGAAATTAACTTCATGACATCTCTCCTCTGAATCTGCGTCAGACTTATAGAGTTTTTTCTTATTATTTTTTAAAGAAAAATTGCAGCAATATTCTCTGAAGTCTTATATAATAAATTAAACTATTACAAATATTTTTCTATATATCAAATAAATATTGTGCAATAGCAGAGTTCTTCTGAGTGACACATCTAAATAATTACATTTTTTTCTATTAACAATAACCAAAGGGGGGGAAACACGTGCTGCTTAGAAGTTTAATCTGCCTAGCAATATTCTTCACCTCCTATAGAAAAAAAATCCATTTAACTTTTTTTTTTTTTTAATTTTGCTTTAGGGCAGGTTCAGACTCTTAAAAAGTTGTGATCATTTGTTTGTTTATGTATAATTACCTAAAAATGTAATTTTCTACCTGTTTTTTAAAAGGATATAGAGAGTATTTGTAATTTCCTAATTACTTAAATGTAACTCATTACTTATCTACCAACTTACATTTTAGTGGTTTTCTGAACCTCTTTCATAAAATGTTATCTGAAAATACATTTTCTCACAATTAGAAAGGCATGATCCCATTATGCCTTTGATTACATTGATATTTACATATATAATTTTACTAAGTAGTAACTGGAACTAAAATCTTAATACCAGTTGGATATTCTAGAATATAGTCATATCTCATATTCTATAACTCTTTTAACTACTTTCAAATGACAAAAATATTTAATATATGTCTTTCAGGGCAGGTGTTTTTTTGGCAGATGCCATCACCAAACCTGCTCCATCCATTGTAGCAGGTATTCTTGATTAGGTTTCATATGGGTTGGTTCCATTTAAAGTGCCTCAAGGCACCCACTATGATATTTTATATGAGCATGTGTTTGTACTCTGTGGATATTGTGCATATGTTGTGTATGTGTACTAAATAGTAGATAACAATGCAATAGCCCCAAATTCATTTCTCTTGTCCCTAGTATAGTCTTAAATCATCTTTAAGCTCCAGAGTGTTTTCAGAAGGCTAGAATTATAAAAATGTTGTCATATGAGAAGCCTAATCTTCATAATTCAATTTCGGTTAACTGAGTAAACTAGAATTTCAATAAAATATATTGCATTTCTTAGCACTCTATCTTGATAGAGTCACACTTAATGGCTTAGAAATATTCTTAGAATTTTATCATGACTTAATCTTACATTTACTATGCAGATATTCTAAGAAATTTACACTAAATAATCCTTAAACTTTTTTCTTCAAATTCAAAATTTATAGAATTTTTTTAAGTTGTTGATGGACCTTTATTTTATTTATTTGTATGTGGTGCCAAGAACTGAACCTAGTGCCTCAGGCATGCCAGGCAAGTACCATCACTGAGCCACAACTCCAGCCCCAACAAAAACTTTTTCATTTGTGTTGAGTTCATCTTCTGTGTCATGGTCTTTTGTAGCTTATATATTCAATTTTATAGCTTATATATTTAAATTCTTTTGTAGCTTATATATACAAAATTTTCCTGAAATCAATGTTTTTTTCATGGAATATTCAGAAAGATATTTTTAAAATTCACTCCAATTAACATAGTTACCAGTGGGTTGATTTTCATGAAAGTGAATTTTGTAATTCTATTAAAGATGTAATCTTAATAGCTATAAAATAAACAAGGATGAGAAAACTTCCTTAGAATTTAAGTAAAAGAGAATACATGACCATATACCTGCGGAGCAATTACTAGCAAGTCAATATGAGCTTTCCCCAAGTTAACAACAAAGAATTTAAGTTCTTTGGCTTAATTTCCATAAATGCAAAAATGACATCAAATGAGATCGTGAATAATAGCAGATAAAACAAGGATATGATCCATTCATTCACTTACCAAATGATTATTGTAAATACAGTGTGCTAAGCAGCATACAAATGCTAGAGATGCCAGACAAAAAGATGGGAGGAAGCTGGAGCCAGAGTAAATAGTCTACCTTTCTTAAAGTAGTGTCACAGGTAGGTTGAAAGTATGGCCATTAGAGTTAAAAACAAGGACATGTCCCTAAACCTCTTATGATATTGTTATATCAATAAAGTTACTTCAAGACTCAAATAAGTCTCTCTTTTCTAAGGAGACAGTCATAATATTTTCTTCATAAGATTGTTAGAAAATTAAGTGAATTAGATAATTGCTTTAATAAGTTTAGCAGAGTGATTGGCAGTGTCTGTGTACCTAGTGATTGTTATTAATATTATTTTAAACACTATCCACTCTCTGTGTATGATTTTTATTTTCTAAATATCTGACAGGCATGTTTGAAGCATAGAAATGGAGCCAAATAGTTATGTACTTACCCAGTGTCCTATATTTTTCACTTATCCCCTCACCCACCCTGCTTTTTGGCATCAACTTTCAGCAAGATGGTTATAGTAGCTATGACGTCTGTATAATCTCAGCACATTGTAACAATATCAATATACAAACTCATAACCATAGGCAGAAATTCAAAGGTAACTACTGTGTCACAGCATGTGAAACATTCTTTTACAGCACAGTCATATACATCAATCTCTTTTTAAATAGCCAAGAATAACCACTAAAAACAGCATGCACTCATTCTCTGAAATTCTCCTTGGACACAAAAGTGCCCTGGTTTCCACTAACCTGTACCTCCTCATTATATTCTAGTACTGTAGGTTATGCATCAACACACTTAATTTCTTTTCTGATTTTTAAATCAGGTAACCAAGGTCTAATTTACTAATGATTTCTGAATGCTTTTTTTATTTATGGTTTGGGGCTATTTGCATGGCAGTCATTTAGCAAATTAATGTAGATGAAAAGCAATAATTTTACAGATGTTTATTGCAATCACGCTGTCATCCCATACTTAAAATGCTAATCTATTGACATCTATTCATTAGAGATGAGCTCCACTTACTTTGTAACATTAGTATTTTGTAACCTGGGGTGTTTTGAAGTAGGCTAGAAGTCAGAATTTTAAGCATCCCATTCAAAATGGATTTTTAAAGGGTAAATGCATTTTATTCCTTATTACTTTAAAACTACTTCTCCCTCAGCTGACATTATACAATCTTTGACTGATTCTTTGCATTAATACAAGCACCAGTACAGACAAGGTGTTTATCTGAATTTGGTGTTTGAAGTGGCATAAGACTAGCTATCTATAGAACTTCCTAAAAATGGGCCTTCTGTTGACCCAGGAAGTCCTCAGGGGGTCAACAGTCAAATCATGCCAAGGGCTGCTTCTTAGCAGGACTCAGAAGACAACTAGGATTAAGATTGAATGCTAGCCACCTGGATTTAATCATTCCTGGTTGGAATTTCTCTATAGAAGTGAGATTTATTCTCCCTCGGTTTTGTTGTTGGTATCAAGGGTTTCATTGCTCAGAAAGTGACTCATCAGGGCTAGGACAGATCAAAAGCCAACCCTCAGCTGATCAACTGAGATAGGGGCAGGAGGTCCTATGATTAATGGCTGACTCTAAAGCCAGGGAAAATGGATCATGGGTACAGGTGGGGTAGTCTTCCCAAGGAAGCTATGCTGCTAGAAAATCCACAGAAGTATATCAATGGTAGGTACTAAACATAGGAAAAATTCTGTATTTTCTCATGTGATGCTGGACATATAAATGTCTCAAAATGATGTAGCCCTTTTCATTTTCAAAACAAATTTTCTGATTTTAAAAAAATAACATATGGTATTATTCAAATATATAATCTGTACATTTTCTGTCACATCATAGGCAAATGTGTTATAAAATTATGTATATTTGTATATATTATTTTAACTACACAGAGAGCATAAATATGTTCAGACTAATACTCCTCTAGTGTTTTGAATATTATTAAATTTATGTATTTGACTTAATATATGTAATATATCTACATTATCTTTTATGAACTGGTTTTTGTCTTTGCATACTTAAGTCATCCTGCCTTAAGTTTGGCTATTTGAAGACTCAGCTGATTAAGATGGTAGAAGATCTTTAAAATTATGTTTTAGCAACAGTCTGATAAATTGCTATGAATAAAACTTTAATTTGGGGGGTACACAAAAGAGTGCCTACATTGATTTTTTTTTTGACCAATTGAATATCCTTTTATACTGAACATTTGCTTTTTTTTCCCCTTAGTTTTGTGTTTTGGCAGGCATTATGGACAAATCTCTACATGAACACAAAATAGTTGTAATTGGTTTCTTCATGTTTTTTTTTCTGATTTAACTTCTTGAAACTTGTATTTATGTTGGCTCTCTAACAACCCAGAGGACTTTAGTAATTCTTAATTATGTTAAAGTTTAAACCATACTTCATTGGTTCACCTTTGTGCAACCTATATAATATTATTCATTTTCTTTGCTTTAACCATGTCATCCTTAAAGTAACCACAGTTTCAGGGCAAAAAAAAACACTACTTTTTTCTTCTAAATTCACAAGGAACATTATTGATTTTATAGAAGCTAATCATGCCAGTAGCAAATTTTCAGGCTGGAGTGCTGTGCTAGATAGTCCATTGTTCAAGTTAGGCTTGGATATTTAACTCTGAGAATTTTGACAATTTATTTGACCTGGGACCTTCTTTTTTTTAATCTGTAATAAAATGGAAATAATAAAAGTGTCCACTTACTAAGGTTGGGAGGGTTAAGTAGACCAATCAGGCAAAATACTAAGCATAGTACTGACACTTCCTCACATCACTGCTGCTCCTCTTCCTCCTCTTCTTTCTTTCATTTCCTCTCTATCTTCTCATTTTCTTTACCTCTACATGCCTGCTGACTTCTGCTGCAGAAAACAATATGAGAGAATTAATTAGTACTTCTCCAAAATCATCATATGAACTCAATTTTGTGCTCAAAATTCCAGTCCCTTTTCCCTCTTTTATTTTTGATCCATCTCTACCTTTTCTAAAGTAGTAATTGCACAGTTTTTCCTATATATCATCAAAATGTCCTCATCCAACTCCTAATAAGTGACTTCACTCTCAGAGCACCCCCAGAAAGCAGAATCCTTCAGAGATTATGTTCCCAAATTTAGACAAAGAATCAAGTGAAAAACCAAAAGCTTCAACTATGTATGTTCACATTTGCTTAGATGGAGAAAGCTCCCTCTTCCGGTCAATCCCTCACCTGCTGTTTAGGTCCCGCCCCAGCATCCAAACATTGACTGGAGTCTTCAGATGCTGAATTCTACCTCCTTCCTTCATTTTCTGTTTTGCCAAACTCTTCTGATGTAATGACCTCCTCAGGATATGAGCTTATAGTTATTCTCTTAATGAAAGTGACAAACATAAAAGCCTCTAACACATCTTATAGTGTTCTAATCCTCCTGCTCTAAAATACCACTTTACCTTATATTTTTTACAGAATAATATTATAGATATTTTATAGACTTTATGAATATATTTATGTTCTTAAATTGTCATCCTCAGACCATTCTTATCTAGCTTCTGCCCGTGCTGTTCTATTGAAAGGGTTCTATGTTGGTTGATACTGATTGGTTTTCATTGTGTTGATAGTTCTTGGCATGAAAACAGGCAAGATGACCACTAGATTAGAATGGAAGGCAAAACAACAAACCCACAAAAGTACAGTTACCTCATAGTAGACACAGGCTCCACTAACAGACATTGGTGAAAAGATAGCCTCTTCAACAAATGGTGCTTTTAAAATTGGAAATCAGCTCAAAGTTGACCAAGCAGAAAGTAGATCAAGGACCTAGACCAGAAACCCTGCACAAACTAGAAGAAAAGGTAGGCCCAACTCTCTAATATATCAGGTCAGGAACTGACTTTCTTAATAAGACCCTTAAAGCACATGAAGTAAAAGCAAGAATCAATAAAAAGGATCGTATCAAACTAAAACTTCTTCACAGCAAAGGAAACAATTAAGAATGTGAACAGAGAGTTTACATAATTGGGGAAAAATCTCTGCCACCTGTACTATAGGTAGAGTATTAATTTCCAGGGATATGAGATTATAGTTATTCTATGGGGAAAGGACTAAACAGATACTTCACAGAAGAAATACAAATTGTCACAAAAATGTATGAAAAAATATTCAACATCTGTAGCAGTTAGAGAAATGCAAATTAAAACCACACTGAGATTTCATCTTACTTCAATCAGAATGGCAATTGTCAAGAATACAAGTAACAACAAATGTTGTTGAAGATGTGGGGAAAAATGTTCACTTATACATTTTTGGTAGGACTTCTAATTGGTCCAAACACTCTGGAAAACAATATGGGGATTCCTCAAAAAACTTGGAATGGAATCACATTTGACCCAAGTATCCTCTCCTCTGCATATACCACAAATATTTAAAATCAGAATATTACAGTGACACAGCCACATTATATTTTATAGTAGCTTGATTCATAATAGCTAAGCTATGGAACCAACCGAGGTGCCCTCTAACAGATGAATGGATAAAGAAATGTGATATATATATATAAATGAAGTATTTTTCAGCCATAAAGAATGACTTTTTGGGGGACTGGGGCTCAGCAGTAGTGCACTTGCTTGCCTGGCATGAGTGAGGCACTGGGTTCAATTCTTAGCACTGCATATAAATAAATAAATGTCTATTAACAACTAAAAAAATATTTAAAAATAAGAATAACTTTATGACATTTTGCAACAAATAAATGGACCTGGAGACTATCATGCTAAGTGAAGCAAGCCAGTCCCAAAATTTACAGGTCTAATATTTTCTCTGGTATGTAGAAGCTAACCCCCAATAAGAGGGAGTAGTTACGTTAGAAGTGCAGTAGATTGGAAAATGAGAAAAGGAAGGAAGGGCAGGGGGATACGAAAACGAAAATGACATAATTTTCCCTTATACATATATGAAAACAACATAGTTAATCCCATCATCATATAAATCCATAAAAATGAGATTCTAATTAGAATAAGATAGATACCATTCTTGTATAATTATATCAAATGAATTCTACGTTAATGTATAACTAAAAAACAAATAAATTTTAAAAAATTTAAAAACAACTTTATTTAAAAAATCTCTCACCTGTAGTCACATAGAGTGCATGGAGTATACAGATCACCACTTTAAGATGAATTTGAAGAAGATGAGATTCTACAGACAATAACCACTTAAAATGACTACTTTTATAATTTAGAAAAGGAAAGGAGGTGATGAGACTCACAGGGATTGGAAGGGTTGACATATATTAATATGAAGTGAATAGAGCAGTCAGGAATATTAACTTCTAATTTTAGCAAAGGAAACAATTAAGAATGTGAACAGAGAGCTTACAGAATTGGGGAAAAATCAGATAGGTAAGTAGTTATACATTGAAAAATTTATAAAAAGTTTATCAAACAAATTTTGTCAGAGTTAAAGAGTATTTAACTTCATGAATCCTATTGTAGGTTGGTAGAGGACACTGTTTTGTAGAATATCCTCCAACAACATATTATAAATATATGTCTACAGATCCAGGCAGATATCTGGTCAAAGGATGCAGAATTAGTGCTCATTAGCATAATGCTAAGAGCTCAAACTAAAGCATGGTATAAATGAACAAGTGTGTGAAGAATTTGAAATGAGGTAGGATGAATATGTAGCCTCAGAGCAAGAATATTTAGGTTGAAAATGGAGAACAGAGGTCAAAAGAGAAACTATAAATAAAACAGAAGATACAAAAACAAGGTTATTAAGTATTGTGATCTATTTTACCATCATATTAACCTTTCCCTGAGTAGCATAATTTTCTTTATTTTATCCACCAGGCCTAGGGTATTTTGAACGGACTAGTTTTCATATTCTTTGCTAAATGTGGAACAAATCTTTAAAAAATTCAAATCCTGGTGAACAAACTAGAAATTAACTCAAAAACATGTAGAATAACAAGTTTCCACTTAAATTCCCTATACAATAGTTTTGACGTATGTGTTCTAGCAGAATATGGATTCTATTGATGGCTCTGTCTTTTGTTGATGTCTTGCTATTTCATAATTTCTTGTCCAGTGGGAGATGTCTTCTGTAAAGCACTAGAGACTGAAAGTTTGTACACCTGGAAATAAGCACACCTTGCCTGCTACTAGCCCTATGGAAGGTCAGATAATCTTGCCTGGAATTGTTCAAGCTTTGGTCTTGTTGTTGCTATGGTTACTTTAATACTTCACAGGCTTCAAATTCTTTCGTGTAACATAATGCTCTGGGTGGAGGTTGCATAGTCAGAGGATTTTTCCAATTACTGTCCCGCCCTCTGTTAAAAGTCTCCTTTTTAGCAAATTATCTTAAATATCCACAGAATATTTCCATGTTACTTATTGCTTCATGTTATGTTACTTATAGTCAGGTAGGGTGAACACAGTGACTCAGGGGAGTTCCATGTGGCTCTATTTGAGCCTCAGTCTTAGGCACTGTGATCTTGGGTTTTGGGATTATGTCTCTCCCCTAGTTCCTGCTCTAACACAATACAGTTCTGGATCTGACACACATTCCTGGCTTTTCAATTTTATGTTCCTATCTCACAGCCAGATTTTCTGTTCACTATTACCTTGGGCTGCCAGCTTCTAAAAGATCTATACCTCTTCATTCAGTCCCACGTTAGCTGAAACACACCATGTTCCAAACCAAACCGGAAAACAAGAAAATCCTCAAATACATGTGTTTCATTTTCATCTATCTCAAAAAGCACTGTTGTTTGTAGTTTAGGTGCCATATTCGCCCCAGAGATTTTTCAGATCTAAAAGAGTAACTTTGTTAGGCTTTCTTTTTTCTGGGATCGTTTATTAAGTAAGGTGCCAGCATGGAGATTTTTTCCATTTTATAGATTTCTTTCTATTTCTATTTCTCTCCAGGTCTTGTTTCCATGTATTTCTACACAAAACTGACTTGCTTCCATAAAACCTGACAATTACTGGCACCAAGGCTTCTAGCTTTTAGGAGGGATTCAAAAGAGACCCTAGGACATGAGATAAAATAAGCCCATTTACAAGATAGAAAGGGAAATATTTAGATGAATAGTATCTGCTTATAGAGTTAATTTATTTAAATAATACATTATCCTTTATTCAATGTTCCCATCCTCGATATAAAAGAGTCATGAGGGGATTTATTGGCATATCTCATGCAGTTCAAAGCATACATTTTCCACTATATACAAATTTGAATCAGCAATATTTTTTAAGTTGTTGCTCCATCATGATTTTTTCTTACTATTAGATAAAATACTGGTACGTCTTATAATTAAAGGTAATTTAGTTTGACAAATTGTTCAGGTAAGTGTTTCAAATGTTTTTTATTAATTTCAAACATAGTGTTTATAAATGAAATATTGGAAAAGAAAACTAGATTGATATATATGATGAAAAATAAATTATTCTTATTAGGAACAGATTATTATAAAACTCTTAAGTATAAAAAAGAGAAAAAGGGAAAAAGGGAAACACAGGGATTAATAGCGTAGAGGTTATCCAATAATAAATGTTGTAAGATATAAACAATATAGCCTTGAGAAGGGGAAAATATAGATATTTTGTATAATTAGAGATACTAATTGCATATTTTCTTTCTTACATTTGATGTTTCCATGTTATAGATGTGATTTTTCTATGACATCCTATGAAACCTGGAAAACCCACAACTCATTGCAAATATTAAACAGTAATTTTAACAATTGCTCTGGAGGTTTATATAACTATACAAATAATAATATTATCATGCATTAAAAACACTGTGAAAAAGTTAACATAATTCTTGCCAATGAATTGTACTATGAAGAAAAATAAGTTACAAGGATAGATAGAGATAAAATGGTAATGATTAGAAAATATTTTACTTAAAGAAATGCCTATGGAGTGTAGAATTATTAAGTGCAATGAGTTAGACTCTAGATGTGTAGAAGAATATTCTAAAAAGATACAAGCAAGTGGAAAAGTGTTGTGTGTTAGGTTCAACAGAGTCCAACGCTACTAAAAGGCAGTGAACAAGCAACAAATTAGACAGGAGTAAGCTGAAGTTCAGTAAGTGCATGTCAAAAGAAGCACTTCTGATTATATCCTAAGTGTAATGAAAAAAATATTGGAGAATTTTGTGCAAGGTAACAGTCAAATGAACACTTTTTAAAGTTATCGTAGCTTCTTTATTGAACCTTTACTAGGGTGGTCAAGGGTGGAAACTAGGGAATCATTTGAAAGGCACTGTAGTAGACCAGAAGGCACACTCTAGTGGATTATGCTAGAATATTTAAGGTATTGGTTACAATGATTAGTTTGAGATGTACACATTATGTTAGGTAGAATAACTTTCAGATGTTTAAGTTTAGAGTGTGAGAATAAAACATAAATGTGAGACAACTTAAAGAATATGCTATGAAAAACTGTATAAATAATATTTTTATTTACTAAAGAGAAAATCTTGAGCAAGGGGACCATCTAAGTGGGAAAGTCATTTTAACTTGGGTTTTACACATATTAAGTAATCTAAGATATATCCAAATGGAAGTGTTAAGAAGGCAGTTAGATAAAGCTAGATTTCAAGGATAAAGTTGGCATTAGACATAAAATTTGGGGATAGCAAGAATGTGGATACTATCTAAAGTCATTGGATGAGATGGTATCACTCAAAAATTGTTTAAATACAACTTCTACAACTCTTCTATAGAAGGCCTGGGAACATTCAAAATAGAGCTATCAAATTAGTGTGAGAAGAATCTGTAAACTGCATCAGATTAAAAGGAGCTAATCCAAAACTGATTCATAGTGCTAATGATGACTAATACATGGTCTCCTGTTGCTTTCTCTTTAAATAATTATCAAATCAATGAAGATTAGGATTGAGGAATTTCACTCTGTCCAGTGAGGACAGAGGTAAAATCTTTGTTGGTTTAGCTCTTAAACTGGTGTTTCCTGGGGTGTGGGTGGAAAGTAGTACTCTTTTCCATTCCTATATAATTCAGTTGTCAGGAAAAGAGTTAACAGGATTTCTACATTAAGACATAAGTTTGTTTTTGCTACTTTTGATTTTTCCCTAGTGCTTTTAAATAGTTATTTTCAAATATGTTGTATTGAGAGTCTAATTGTCTTCTACAGGATGATTAAAGTTATTCTTTAAAAAAAATACAAACAAACAAGCTAATAGACAAAAAAAAGGATGTAAACAAGTGAATGAAGAAGCTCACCATTGACTCTCATTCTTCATATGGCCCATATGTATTTGAACAGGCATTACACACTCTCCAGGAAATGAGAAGATTATCAAGCTAGAATAACAAAGAAACCAGGAGCTGTGGATTTTATAGCAATAGGTGAGAGACGGAATCACACTGGTGCTCAAGGAAGCAACTCACTCACTATAATAAAGGGATTACTCAGAGCCCCAGAGTGATACACTTCTGTATTTCTGCGATTCTTTTCAAATCTAAGTATTGGGTTTTCCATCAAGGCATGTTATTAGTGGCACAATAATAATAATAATAATAATAATAAATAAAACAGAAAGAATTAATACTATTTTAGTCATCTTTTTCACTGCTATGATCAAAAGACCTGAAATAAACAACATTGAGGAAGGAGAGTTTATTTAGGGCTCATGGTTTCAGAGGGCACAGTATACAGATGACTGACTCCATAACTCTGGACCCAAGTTAATGCAGAATATCATGGCAGAAGAGTATAGCAAGGAAAGAAACTCAGGATATGGCCTTTAGGAAGCAGAGAGGTTTCTGATTACCAGGGATTCCCCATCCCTGCCCCAGTGACCTATCTTTTCAGGCTACACTCTATCTGCCTATTATTACCACAAAGTTAAGACAATCAGCCAATTAATTCACTGATTAGTTACAACTCTATAATCCAAATATTTTCCCTCTGAAATTCTTACATTGTCTCACACAGAAGCTTTTAGAGCCACCTCATATTTAAACTATATGATATCATAGAAGTAAAACTCTGGCGCATTAAATTCATTTCTGAAGGAAATTAAGCAGAACATGGCAGAGATAAAATACTTTTGATGTAATTAAAATATACTCAATTTTGAACATAAATGGTTATTTAAAAATATATGACCATTCTTCTGTTGAACATTTAATCATTATTTTTCACAGAAAAACCAACACTTAAATATAAAGAATGATTTTGGAGAAAAATTAGTATTCTTGAACATAAAT